ATTAGGTCCTGATTAGGTTTTTGCGTTTGCGCCAACTTAACAGACGAGGAGCTTTCTTTCCTGAGCACGGAGTCGCTCCTGACATGCTAAACCATTGCCTTTCTCTTCTGTTGACACTGATTACTTTAAATGAGCCATACACAGACGGATCTTCTCCCTCCGTGCGGGACTGAATATGCGTGTGCAGCTTGCAGCGTTTGTTGGACTTGCAGAAACACAACATGTTGTTTTGGTAATTCGGCTTCCTTGTGTGCCACAGAGTAATCATGCACAGACACTTTTATTTTGGGATTTTATTAGAGTAGCTTTGCAGGATTCACAGTTCAAAATAATCCACATGTATCTTATGGTGCACCTCATAAACAACAGGTGGACATGGTTTCAGTGCTTAGAGCCATATTGGGGATGGATGCACTTGATGACATCATACAGGTGCAGGAGTAGAAAAAGAAGTTTCTGAAGCTGAGTGCTTAGAGCAGTCTGAAGCCTGAGCTTTTGGCTTGTTCATATATTTATTTGAAATTTGAAAGTTTAATACGAATACCTGCGAATGGAGTCAGAAGCCGGGCTCAGAGATTGTGGCCTCTAAAGTGCGCGAGGCTCATACGGGCACATTAATATCTGCGTCACTCGCCACCCGCACCCACTGCTCACACAGCTCCAGTTTCACGCAGCATTCAGAGGAAAAGTCGGGTCATGTGCTGAACCTCAGTTTTAATTAGCTAATGGCGCTCCCTGTTTTATCTCATGCACCTGAGCTGATTGCTCACAAAAGACTCCATTTACTCCAGGAAACACACGGCATCTGCTGCAGAGGGACGTAGCCACTCTCGTCCAAAAAACAGTCTAGTAAATCTAAATATATATGTTAGCTGGTTTCACACCAGTGAAGAAAGAGGAAATTCCATGATCTATGCCTTTTTTCCAGCAGGTCTCAACATCCAACTTTCCTTCAACAAGTCCTTTGACTGTGTGTCAGTCAGAGCGAGCGTGTGTGTTGGTGTTTGTCTGCGTATACACACATGTGCATACGTTTAGAAGGAGCACTATTAAGCAGCTAATGCTGGCTGGCTTTTGTCATTGTGAAATGGAAGAGCGGCTCTTTGACTCGCCTTTAGCAGCACGAAAACCTTTTTAAAGAGTTTTCTCTTTATTTCACAAGATCCTAATCAATAATCATTTTACCTGAAATACATAAAACATATATTTATATGAAGCTTTAATATGAAAACAAAATTGCACTTGCCATGTGCTGTGCATAATTCACCGCATCAATGGTGTTTGTTCTAAAAGTCCTTCTGAAAGACCATTACTATGACGTTTAGCACAAACAGCTTGGAATAAGCAACATTTTATTCATGCTTAAAGTGCAGAATGAATCCTGCATCCCGCCGCAACATAAGCCCCTTTTAAAAACATTTAAAGCTCACCAATGTTTTAAAATTTTATGAGCACATTTTTCTCCAACATTTGATCTAAACCGCTTCGCCAAACCAACCGAACAAAGAGCACAACACTGCACTCTTGCCTGAAGTCACTGTGCCATGCAAACACGCCGCCCTTTGCACACAGAGCTTCAGCGGTTTAAGAAAGATGTTTTCTGAAGCTCGTAGCTCCCAGTGCAGCCTTCAGACACTTCAAATCCACGAGGTCGGCCTCTGACGAAGAACAATATCAAAGTCTAGGACCATGACAGGGCTGCTCTTGCTGGATATATTTTTAATATTTATGCAGACACAGGAAAAAATGCAATAAACTAAAACAACAAGTGAATTAGGCATGAAACACAACAGGATATTGCAGAGAGATTATGTTGTTTCCTTTTCGCCCGTGTGTCCCTCGGCATTTGCTTGCCCTGTGCAACAACCCAGGGCTGGCTTTAATTGGAGCGAATGGGAACAAAAAATATTTTCTAGAAAGGTAGCGCAACATTTTAAGAATCTCAAATTCAGCCGTCGACTCATTTCTCAAACGGGACATTTGGTAAGATATTAGCCAGGTGACAGACCCACGCAGGGGACGAGGCACGACTGTGGTGCTGTGATCATGACTTTTGGAAGATGCAGCATGAAGCGAATTCTGTGCAGCTGCATGAAGAAAGTAGAAAGAGTGTATATATGGAGCAGGAGGGGGGGAGATGTGTTATGTTTGGATGTCAGGCAGGCCTCGCTGCTGGAATCTGCCGCTAGAAAGATAATAAAAGGATTAGTCCTGTTGTTTCTAGAGCATTTGGTCTAAAACAGAAGGTCTCATCTGTTTCCTCTATATGAATTGCTCGAATTCTTGAATGCCTTTGTCTATTGCGTGAGCACAAGGAGCACAAGAGGCATCGGTGCTAGTGGCAAAAAGTGCACGTAGCCAGACACCAGAAGAAGAAAGGAAGAAAAAAATAAGAAGGTACTTGAGACGTTTTTCAGACGCACACAGAGACACAAGGTTTCCAATGAGGGCAGAGCATTTACTTAAACGTGTATAGACTACAAAAACACAAACAGAGTTACACACACACACACACAGAGTGTGTTTATTTTCCCAGGGCCTCAGAGTTTATCTGCTGAAGTCCCGGATCAACATACATTAAATCCCAGATGATTCGATGTGTTGATGCAAGCTTTAAAACATTTCTTATTTATGTTGGTTTTTCTGGAAACCACGAGTGTTACAATTCATTGTGCTGCACATGGAATCAATACTTCCTATTGTGAGAGTGATTCAATGCACCGCCATCGCCGTGACTTTGTTTTTTCATGCAATGAGCATAAACAGGAGGTTAAGGTGAGTTTCACAGCGCCGCAGACAAAGTCCAGCGTCTCGTCCACACTGAGCTGGATTGTTCTCGTGCTCACATGTGGTAAACATCTCCAAAAACACACCTCGGCGCAACATTTACGCACACCTACACGAAACACGTAAATCTGCTGCGTGTCACCCAGACGTGCTGTGCCCGCTGTGCAAACACACGTTGCTTTAATGAGCAACAATAACAACAACAACAACAAAAAAAGGGACAAATGAAAGCCTGTAATACAAACGCAACGCTGAGGCTGAATTAACAGTTTAGGCACGAACAGCAAATTACTTCCAAGTTTTTACTGAGCCGAGGAAGCAGAGACACTAACACCCCGGAGTGACGCAAAGCGGGGAGAACAGCGGTTGAGTTTGTGTCTGTTTGCCTTCGGTCAGCAGATGTGTAACAGCAAGCATGAGAATTAGTAGATTCAGCATGAATGTCTTAATTAGCGCACAAGGACGGTAAAACCAGCCTCTCCCTTTAGTTCATTTCACGAGCCACTGGTTTATTTAGGAAAACAAACAAGATCTGGAGAACAAGGCGCTACAGAAATATAATATTTTTTTAATTAGCATTTGGATTTGGATGAATTTTAACCTGAAGAAGACGAAGAGAGATTCGGGTGAAGCCGGGACAGGACAAGCGAACGTTCCCGACGATGCCTCCGCGTCTCACTTCTCCAGACTACATTTCTCCTCATGTTTGCCTTGGATATGAATCCAACTCACTTAATACTTGTGGGACAGCTAAACTTTTAAAGCTCCCATTTAATGTGGGCATTGTTTGGTTATGTTAACCATATGCGTTGGCTTTTCACGATCTGAATCCCTCCTTAAAAAACAAAGTGCCCGTGAAAATAAACACGGCTTCTCGCTACACAAATTGTGCACTAATTGTGTATTTGGACTGCATCGTTTTAAAGGTTGGAGGGCATTTTCCATTCGCGAAGGGACGCCGGGAGGTGACAGCTTGACACTGATTAGCGTGTTGATTTGTGCAACCTGAAGCCTTACCTGCAAATACAACCGCAAATCTATTTCTGCTGACGAAGCACTGCTGCTCTTACAGCGTTTCACATCTTCAGTGGAAGAAAAACTCTTTTGTTTTTTTGCA